CGGTTCGGTAGATTTGACGAACCGGTTCTACCGAACTGGTGCGAACTGGCAGGAACCCACCTCTGGTGCCCAGGCTCTGCAGGTGGAATTCGACTGACCAGCCCAAAAGGAAGACTAAACAGACAATATCACAATGGAGTGTCCTACACAGACAGGAGGGGGCTTCCCAACTCTCCAAGCCCCTCCTCCCCCCAATCATTTCCCGATGATTTCTCACCTGCCATCCTGCAGGCCAAGGCAGAGGGCAGGCTGAGCTGGAAACGACTGGTCAGCCCCGGTTGGAGACTCCTCGGATCGCTCCTCTTCGGCTCTTTCGGGGATGTACTCCAAGCAGAGAACCTGTGAGGCCACCGGGAAGGATCTGACCGTACGAGGCACTGACCGGTTCAGGGAAAATATCTCCACTTGACCCCCGGCGCCCTCCTGACCTCCTCCAACCTAGAGGAGCCAGAAAGAGTGGACGCTTGTCTTTTTTTTTAATTCTTTAATAGTATTTATTGAATTTTCCAACATTTAAAAGACAAAACACAAGGCACAAATTTATAACACTCCATATCGGTATCAATACCTTTCGTAACAATCCTATTAACAAAACTTCTATCTCCATTTCACTATCCTAAATTATATCCTTATTTCGGTTATAACAGCATCAAGTCAATATCATCCTATACCTTTTACATTCTATGTATTATACTTTAACGTTTAATGCCCTGAGTTTTACTCTTACTTTCAAGCCAGGAATACATCTATTCCAGCTTTGATAGTACTCGGTTTCTTCCCTCTCCTTCATTTCTATAGACCCATGATGGCGAACCTGTGGCACGCGGGGCCATTTGTTAGGGCACGCGAGGCGTTGCCCTGTCAGCTCCAGCACGCATGCGTGCACTGGCCACTGACTTTGGCCTTCTTTTAAGGCTGTTTTTCACCCTCTAGAGCAGTGTTTCTCAACCTTGGCAACTTGAAGATGTCTGGACTTCAACTCCCAGAATTCCCCAGCCAGCTGGGAGTTGAAGTCCAGACATCTTCAAGTTGCCAAGGTTGAGAAACACTGCTCTAGAGGCTTTTCACCTTCCGGAGTCCTCTTCAAAGCCTCTGGAGGGCAAAATACGGGCCCTACAGGCAAACTGGAACTTCAGGAAGGCTTCCCCAAAGGCTCCAAAGGGCGAAAAACGGGCCTATGGCCAAACCGGAAATCACCTTTCCCGAACTTCCGGGTTGCCCATAGGGCCGTTTTTTTGCCCTCCGGAGGCTTCAGGGAAGGTCCTGAAGCCTCTGGAAGGCTTCTGGGTGGCAGAGGGAGGCTGTTTTTGCCCTCCCCAGGCTTCTAGAAAGCCTCTGGAGCCTGGGGAGGGCGAAAAAAGCACGCCTAAAGCAGGGGAGAGTGTTGATCACACACATATGCACGCAGGGGGAAGGGTGTACATGCGCGCTGGGGTCACAGGCATAGCATTATGGGTGTGGGCACGCCTGTGCATGCACCCCTCCCTGTGCTCCCCCCCGGCTTTTGGCACGCGATCCAAAAAAGGTTAGCCATCACTCCTATAGACAGAGGAAGAGGAGGAAGTAGAGCTGGCAGAGAGAGAGAGAGGGACAGAGAGGGGGAGCCTGGGCCATCTGTCAGCCCTTATAGATGGAGAGTCTATAGCCCTCAAGCCTAGAGGTGGCTGATGAGGAAGAGGAGGAATAGCTGAGTCCAGTGCTGGACACGTGGATGCGCAAAAGGCAGAGGAGAGGAGAGCAGTGGAAATCTATGGGCAGATCCTTGGGAAGGAAGAACCACCCCTGCTAGCGAAGCCACACCCTAACTCTGGGGGAAAAAAGACAGGGGGCAGAGATGAATAGATGGCAGACAACTATTCTATCCATTTCTGCACATTCATAAATTTTTCTTCTTATGATCAGGTCTGGGGGAATATCTGTTTGTTTCCAGTTCTGTGCTAACCCGATTCTGCTTGCAGTTAGAATATGTAATGTTATATGTAGTATAGTTTCCCCCCACATGTCCACATCAAAAAATATCCAGGAGAAATTGTTGCGTCCTCCCGGGAGTCGCAGCCAGAGCCCAAGGTTCACCTCAGGCTCGAGTCTTTAAAAGAAATAGTTCCAGTTTCAACTCTATCCTCTGTTCAGTGATCTCTTCCAGCCACTTTCTTAACTTAATGCCAATATTTCCTGACCTTAGGGAAAATCCCATCACATCTGATGGATCTGCCCTAGGGAAACCCTACCACTGAATGTCTATAATGAAGCTTTAGAGCAGGCGAAATTACCAAAGACATGGATGGAGGCACTGATAACACTCATTCCCAAGGATGACACAAAGACTCAACAAATTAAGAACTATAGGACAATCTCACCACTCAACGTTGACTACAAAATATTTGTGACGATAATGGCTGAAAGAGCCAAAAAAAAGAGAGAAAAAGTGCTGTCTTTTAACCCGGACTACAATTTTATCACCTTGTTGTTGACCAGGGTGCTTTGGGAAACAGCTTGACCCCCTCCTCCTCTCTGTGGCAGCCCCTCAAATATCGGAAGATGCTATCCTGTCTCCCCTGGTCCTTCTCTTCACTGGACTAGCCAGGCCCAGTTCCTGCAACCGTTCATCGTACGTTTTAGCATCCAATCCGCGAGGCCGTAACAGATATAAACTCACCAATCCGCGAGGCCGTAACAGATATAAACTCACCCATAGGTAGCCCTGTGGCAGAGAAGTGCTGATGGCCGAGAATCCCAGCAAGGAAGACTGGACGGGGCTGTGTATGGCCGCCCCCAGCTGACGGCAGGAATCCATTCAGAAGAGGAGAAAAAAAAAAGAGAAACAGTTATTTGACGGGAGAGTTTTTACAACTCTTTTGAAACCAGCTTTGGCGAAGGGACGTAAAAGCCCAACTTTCTAAAGTGATATCTTCACCACCAGCCTCCGAAAACAAA